GCTAGACTAAAGCAGACTGGGTTCGACCATTACCGCAGTCGCTTTGTTCTTGGGAAACACGCTTTACTCTTGCAATGGCATTTTCCACCCAGGAGTACGGGTCAAATGCTGGGGGTACCCTAAGAAGGAGAAGGACTACTTCTAATTTTAGACTTTTCATTCTACCGAAAACCTGGCAAACTTCGCTGACACGAGACACTGTTATGGCGTAACTATTTTAACTTTCTACTTGCGTCGCAAGCATAAATCTAAACGTAATAAAGTTGATGATAGTTAGAAGTTCAATCACAATCATGAAGGTCAAAACATCTAGTGATTTCACATCAAATTAGTGTTTATATGTGTTCTTGCAGTTGCTTTCCAGCGAAGACTCGCTGTGATATACTTAATTTAGATTTTATATTTATTCAATGGTGACGGCAACTTTTAACAACGCGAACAGCAATTTTTTAACTTTCATCATTTGCCGCCTTTGTGGACACGTAACTTAAATTAACATAACATGTTGCTCTACTTAACAATGCAGACTGCTTATTTTCGCATTAACTTTCGCAGATTTGTTCGCAAGGAACTACTGATGAGAGAGAACACTGCTCATTATCGCAGGTGCATTCTAAGACGGCTTACTCAAATGTGGAGAGGCCTCGCGAATAAATATGCGGCTATATTGTGAAGCGTCCTTAAAGTAATCGACTAACCTATAAAATAACATAGCGCAGGCTTTACTGTTANACATCATCATCGTTCACATTTAACCTGGTTTCCTTTTACTGGCAGGGTACGTGATGTCCTAATGGTTAACATGCTAGACTAAAGCAGACTGGGTTCGACCATTACCGCAGTCGCTTTGTTGTTCTTGGGAAACACGCTTTACTCTTACAATGGCGTTTTCCACCCAGGAGTACGGATCAAATGCTGGGGGTAACCTAAGAAGGAGAAGGACTACTTCTACTTTTAGACTTTTCATTCTACCGAAAACCTGGCAAACTTTGCTAACATGAAACAATGTTATGACGTAATTATTTTAACTTTCTACTTGCGTCGCAAGCATAAATTTAAACGTAACAAAATTGACGATAGTTAGAAGTTCAATCACAGTCATGAAGGTAAAAACATCTAGTGATTTCACATTAAATTGGTGTTTATATGTGTTCTTGCGGTTGCTTTCCAGCGAAAACTCGCTGTAATATACTTAAATTGGATTTTATTTATTCAATGGTGACGGCAACTTTTAACATCGCGGACAGCAATTTTTTAACTTTTATCATTTGCCGCCATTGTGGACACGTAACTTAAATTAATATAACACTTTGCTCTACTTAACAATGCAGACTGCTAATTTTCGCAACTACTTTCGCAAATTTGTTCGCACGGATACTTTACCTTGTTGATAAGAGAGAACACTGCTCATTGTCGCAGGTGCATTCTAAGACGGTTTAATCAAATGTGGAGAGACCTCGCGAATAAATATACAGCTATATTGTGAAGCGTCCTTAAAGTAATCGACTAACCTATAAAATAACATAGCGCAGGCTTTACTGTTAGTGCCTTGGTCAGCCACAGCTTCTTTTGTTGTTGTTGTTTACATGCGAGAGTTTGGCTATTATATTTCATTGGGAGCATGTCCACGCGAAGGAAATCACTGTAAAACTGCTGAAGATAATTAAACATACTTTCAGGAACACAACTTACAGCAAAGCAATAAGATTTCGCTTCACCATGCAATATCAATAATTTTCATGTCATCGAAAATGGAGGAGGCTGACTAAGGTCCTGTAAGGACAATCGCTGAATTTCCTCTGAGGAGGAAACAGGCGAAAATCGTGAGCGACCGTAAAATGCGTGCACTTTAACAAATATATTTCTGTTCTATCTTAAGGTTTATGTTTTATCTTGCACAAGACCTCGCCAGCTCGAATCAGACTTCCTCCTCCATCCAGCAGTCCAGGCCACAGGTAACAAGCAATCTCCTCTCCTTGATCTTGTCCGGAGGGTCTCATCCCCTTTGTTAGCATGTATGGACTGTTGTGATAGCCGATTTTGGTGTGAATATTTTGCAGGCACGAGGATTTGTATTCTAGCTGCATGGGTGGGATCTGAGTCACCATTCTCCATGCCAGTCGGATGCACTCTTTTATGTACGTAACAACTGTTGAGTCATGTAATATGTACATACTTGGTGAGAGCTGGAAATATTTATCCTCCCTCTGCCACGCGCCCCACTTACCCAAAGCAACTTGCACAACATCCTGAAAGATCATTTTTAAATTCACGCTATTACAAGTAAGTTATGACTACCTTAAAATTTCTCTTACACCCTAAGGGCTCCTCTCCCAGTCGCATAAATAAGCCCTCAAGGATTTAAGAGCCTAAATCCAATGACAAGCCTTGTCCTCAACACCCCCCCACGAATACAAGTTATGCCGTGTTCTTTAGAATGATCCTACCCTTTATAGCTTTCGTAATGGAGACGTTGTGGAGGCGCGGTGGCCCCATGGCTGGTGCTGGATAATCGTAAAAAATGTTCAGAAAAGTCAGGTGTTCACGGTTTGAGTGCCTCATTATAAAATTATTCAGAAGCAGCATCTATTTTAAATTTAAACCAACCATCTTGAAAGGCCCTATACTCGCCAATAAATTAGGCCCACCTCCACCTTCATCTCCGCCCTTCCTAAAATCAAGACAACCGAACGCCCCTTGAACAAATACAAGTTCATAATAACGCCAGAATAAAGGTGCTCATATCACGACAGCTACTTTTTGTATCTGAATTTAAATTATTTTTTTGTTGGTAGCAATATCGTTCCCACAATAAGAATCTTAAGAACTCCTGCTTGAGAGACCGGGGAAATGGAGATGGAAATGAAAATGAGGGTTGGCCGATTTTCCTAAAATCCACACACAAAGTCTTTACGCAGAGTTACGTAAAATGACAAAGTTTTAGCTTCGTTGATCGTTTTACATCCGAGTTCTGGATATCAGCCCCGTGGAGGTCCTGTGAGGTCAAATTTCGACCAAATTTTGGGCAATGAAATACGTGGCTATCCAATATAATTAGGTCATTTCCGGTTCCTTTTGATTTGCTTATAAGAGGCCTACATTCTGATGAATAGCACAGACAAGAGAATTGTTCTTGCGAGCCAATATCTCCCCCTATGAAAGCTTAAGCATTGGGCTTTACGTAAATACTTTTGTTTTTTTTTTTAAATCATTTCTTACTCTGTGAGTAACCTCACAGGACCCCTCAAGGAGCTGATATCCAGAACTCAAATTTGATCTTGTGGAAAACCATCAATGAAGCTAAAACATTTTTCATAAGTCTGCATAAGGACTTCGTGTGTGGATTTTTGGGAAAATCGGCAACCCTCATTTCCAGGTTTGACCCGGTCTCTCAGGCAGCTTTTAAACACAAGATATAATAACATACGTTAAAAAAGCAATCAAGGTTGCAGGTGAGTGCACTCTCCTTGAAATTCAGCATTAGAGCATCAACTACGTCTGCTGGGTAGTTAGATTCTTGGCGCCGCGCGTTTACAGTTAAGGATACTGTGAAGTAAGGAAATCCTTGCTGTTTGGTAAGAACAAAATAGCAGGTTATTAAGTGGCAATTTTTGGGGAGTCTACATTTGAACGTAGAAATTCTAAAACCAAAGTAGTTGCAAGGGCCAGTCACAAGAAACAGAACTACCGGAAAGAACCAAGAGAATTCG